ACCATAAATATATATTATTTATATTATTTAATAATAATAATAATAATAATAATAATAATAATAATAATAATAATAATAATAATAATTCTGCTTCTGTGTTTGTTTCCTCTAATGATATTTGTTTACATACTTTTGAAAAAGGGGCCTGGGAGTGATGTGAAAAAACACGGAGAGAACCTGTTTGTCCGGTACTTACCAGTAACGACTACTCAAGTAACAAAAATGGTGACTCAGGGACCAACAACGCTGTTGGCTGATAAGTTTAGTAACCCATGACTTACCCTCAGTGGTTTCATTCATCACTCTGTGTCATGCTGTGTCATGCTGCGTTTGCTCAGCACTGCAAAAATTCAAAGGTATTATCTGACAGGGTGTAAACCTGTTTCCGTGTGTTGAAACTGGTGCCACTGTGTGTATTTCTCTTCTCAGAATAAAAAATAACTTTGAATTGATTTTCCTTTAAAATGCTTATGTTGTTTGTGCTCAGCCGCACCTGTCTAAAAGGAGTGTTTTCTCATGTTATCAGGCTGCTGATCTGACAGTGGGCGGGGCCGAATCACTAGATGTTCAGGAAGTGTGTGATTAGCAAATGATGGTCAAAACAACACCTCTCACTGCTGTTCCTATCTGTCTCTGTTGTTTATGGTCACAGCCCACCCCCCGAATGGCGCTTTCCGGTTATATGGATACAGCGGAGGAATAAAGATAGCTATTAGACTTTATTATTAGTTTACTAACAGACCCAATGCAGTGTGGGGCGCTAACAGCTCATTGTTTAACATTAAAGAAAATTCAGTTGTAAATGTGTCAAGAAGGTGATAGATCAAAAAGGTGATACCAGCTTCTCCAACATCCCATAAAGATTCCGATCGAATTAAATTTTATACTAACTCAATTTTACTTATATAGCGCAAACTCACAACAGCAGTTTGTATATTGTAGGGCAAAAACACGGTAACCCCCTAGGTGAAGGAGAAACTCCCTTGAAACAGGAAGGGAGAACAGCAGAACCAGGCTCAGGGTGGGGCATCAATCAGATGTGACTGGTTTGGGGCAAGGGGAAAGAAAGAGAGCAGACGTAGCGCATTTTGTTTTTTTAAATAAGGTTATTACTAACTCAGCAGTGACAACTCACTCTGAACCTGTTTATTGTGAAACAGCTATTTATAAGATGATAGATCATAGCCTACTTAAGAAACAGTCTGTCGACTGTAATCATCTTAACAGATGTTTGTTCGTCTTTAGTCAAATACTGCCATCTAGTGGACTGTGAGCCAGAAGGCCAGAAAACCCCAAAATGATTTTCGGATAAAAGACACAGGAAACCGTGGAAGCTTGTTTTTGCCGGTAGAAAGTGAATAACTTAAAAATTATGTATTTTTTGTTATACAAAAGAGCTTTTTTGCCTTAATTTAGAAATTCTCTCAAAATTCCGAGTCAGCTATCTCAGAAACTTGACTTATTAACTCAAATGTTTGAGAAAATAACTTGAAATTTAAACCAAAAAATAAAGCAGAAACTTTGAGACAATAAACTAACATTTACGCTAAAGAAGAAGTGGGCTTGATTTCCTTTTTCTGACTTTTTTTCAGCTTACAATTTCAGTTTTAAATAAAACTTTTTTGTTGTTAAATTTTATGATGGTAATTTGCACTGCAATATCTGACTTACATGTGTATGTAACCATCTATCAGCAACTATACTTTTGTGTACTATACTTCATATTTCTTCAGTTTCCAAGTAGTTATAATTTAAATTTAAAAGCTGTATCTGTATGATGATCCTTATCTACATGACAGAACGTTGCAAAGATCTATTCCAAATAAAAATGAAGCTTCTCATTCTTGTCAACCTTCTGTGTTTCCTGCAGTTCTCCATGGGTCTGCAGGAGCTTGGCATCAGCCTGTCAATGACCGGTGTCGCTGGGACCATTCTGATCTGTGCTCTGCCCATGTGGAAGGTGACAGCATTCATTGGCACTCATCTGGTGGTTATGCAGGTGTTCTGGGAGGGTTTGTGGATGACCTGTGTCAGTGAATACACAGGTCA